GGGCATAAATATGAGTAGGATTTTGAACTGAAAGAATTTCCCCTCCCCCACAAAAAATTTGGCTAGCTATATTTTCCATTTCCATTTCCAGTTAACACATATTTTTGGAATTCTTTTCCCCCTCAGTATAGCCCTATCATATAAAAATAAAAATGTATAATAATCAACAATAAAAAGATAAAGTTCATACACAGAATTATGACATCAAGGTCATGTGACTTTTCCACTCATTTGACCCACTAAACTGCTGCACAGGCCACGTGGGAAGACAAAGGTCAGGGGATGTGCCTTAGGAGGAGAGTCACTGGACAAATAGCAGGGAGTGCTCTAGAGAGGAAGAAAGCACAGACACCAGAGCTCCACATTCTGTTTAATGAGCATGTGTCAGCAGTGTTTTTCTGAAAATTGTAGTTTTTTTCCTTTAAATCCAGGCTATTTTTCTGAGTTTTTTTGCTTTAAGCAGTCAGTATGGACATGCAACTCCAAAAATATATCAGAGAAATACAAAAGATATGATTGTTGTTTTTATGCAAGCCTTCCCAAATGAGGCAGGTGGACAGAGGAGCAATCCCCACACACTGGTCCAACAGCATGTCTGTTCTGACTCGACAGCTTTGAGGTCATCAGTCCACTTCATAGCCCTTGTAGGGAGTAGTGATTTTCCATCACTAGAAGCATGGATCAGATGAAATCTGGTAGCCAAGATCTAAAAGACTTCATGACTTAGCCTAAACACACAACTATTTTCCAACTTTTTTTTTGGAAATACTTCCAATTTCTGTATTAGATATTGGAAGTATATAATTATAATTAATCATTTTAGCTTGAATTTTGGGAAATAACGGTTTATGAGAAGTATATTTTGTTAGAGTTTATGGGAGTTGCCATGAAACACAATAATTTGGGGGAAAATAAAAGAGACAATTTGTGTTTACTGGGCCATGGATGGATGACTGACAATGGATGATATCACTAATAGGCAATTATAACATCCAGCATTCCTAAATGATTTAATAATTTGTTTTGAAGAAATATAGTTTCCAAAAGAACAAAAAGACAATCTAAACATTTACTGGGATAGCTGTGTGCCAAAATAAGATAAAATAAAATAAAATAAAATAAAATAAAATAAAATTAAATTAAATTAAATTAAAATAAAATAAAATAAAATAAAATATATAAGTAAAGAAATTAATGCCAACCTAAAAAAAAAACCAAATATTTAGTCACAAACCTAAAAATGGTACGGGTTCCAAAGTTTGTAAATGAATTATTTGCAATACTCAGTGTATTTCCTGTGGAAAAAACATTTCCTATGGGAATGTTGTAGATAGTAGTAGGGCTCCTCTTGTAACCCACAAAAAAGTAGGTTAAGTGTTAGGAACACATATATTCCTGGGCTGCAAGGCTGGTTCAACATCCGCAAATCAATCAACGTCATACAATACATTAACAAAAGAAAGAGCAAGAATCATATGATCCTCTCAATAGATGCAGAAAAAGCATTTGACAAAGTACAACATCCTTTCTTGATCAAAACTCTTCAGAGTATAGGGATAGAGGGTACATACCTCAATATCATAAAAGCCATCTATGAAAAACCCACAGCGAGTATCATTCTCAATGGGGAAAGGCTGAGAGCCTTTCCCCTAAGGTCAGGAACGCGGCAGGGATGTCCACTCTCACCACTGCTATTTAACATAGTATTAGAAGTCCTAGCCACAGCAATCAGACAACAAAAAGAAATCAAAGGCATCCAAATCGGCAAAGAGGAAGTCAAACTCTCACTCTTTGCAGATGATATGATACTGTACGTGGAAAACCCAAAAGACTCCACCCCAAAACTGCTAGAACTCATACAGGAATTCAGTAAAGTAGCAGGATATAAAATCAATGCACAGAAATCAGTGGCATTCCTATACACCAACAACAAGACAGAAGAGAGACAAATCAAGGAGTCTATCCCATTTACAATTGCACCCAAAACCATTAGATACCTAGGAATAAATCTAACCAAAGAGGCAAAGGATCTGTACTCAGAAAACTATAAAATACTCATGAAAGAAATTGAAGAAGACACAAAGAAATGGAAAAACGTTCCATGCTCATGGATTGGGAGAATCAACATTGTGAAGATGTCAATGCTACCTAGAGCAATCTACACATTCAATGCAATCCCCATCAAAATACCATCCACTTTTTTCAAAGAAATGGAACAAATAATCCTAAAATTTGTATGGAACCAGAAGAGACCCCGAATAGCCAGAGGAATACTGAAAAAGAAAAGCAAAGCTGGCGGCATCACAATTCCAGACTTCCAGCTCTATTACAAAGCTGTCATCATCAAGACAGTATGGTACTGGCACAAAAACAGACGCATAGATCAATGGAACAGAATCGAGAGCCCAGAAATGGACCCTCAACTCTATGGTCAACTTATTTTTGACAAAGCAGGAAAGAATGTCCAATGGCAAAAAGACAGTCTCTTCAACAAATGGTGTTGGGAAAATTGGACAGCCACATGAAGAAGAATGAAACTGGACCATTTCCTTACACCACACACAAAAATAGACTCCAAATGGTTGAAAGACCTAAACGTGAGACAGGAGTCCATCCAAATCCTAAAGGAGAACACAGGTAGCAACCTTTTCGACCTTAGCCGCAGCAACTTCTTCCTAGAAACATCGCCAAAGGCACGGGAAGCCAGGGCAAAAATGAACTATTGGGATTTCATCAAGATAAAAAGCTTTTGCACAGCAAAAGAAACAGTCCACAAAACCAAAAGACAACCGACAGAATGGGAGAAAATATTTGCAAACGACATATCAGATAAAGGGCTAGTATCCAAAATCTATAAAGAACTTATCAAACTCAACACCCAAAGAACAAATAATCCAATCAAGAAATGGGCAGAAGACATGAACAGACATTTTTCCAAAGAAGACATCCAAATGGCCAACAGGCACATGAAAAAGTGCTCAACATCACTCAGCATCAGGGAAATCCAAATCAAAACCTCAATGAGATACCACCTCACACCCGTCAGAATGGCTAAAATTAACAAGTCAGGGAACGACAGATGTTGGCGGGGATGTGGAGAAAGGGGAACCCTCCTACACTGTTGGTGGGAATGCAAGCTGGTGCAACCCCTCTGGAAAACAGTATGGAGGTTCCTCAAACAGTTGAAATTAGAGCTACCGTTCGATCCAGCAATTGCATTACTGGGTATTTACCCCAAAGATACAAATGTAGGGACCCGAAGGGGTACATGTACCCCAATGTTTATAGCAGCAATGTCCACAATAGCCAAACTGTGGAAAGAGCCAAGATGCCCATCGACAGATGAATGGATAAAGAAGTTGTGGTATATATACACGATGGAATATTATGCAGCCATCAAAAGGAATGAGATCTTGCCATTTGCAACGACGTGGATGGAACTGGAGGGTGTTATGCTGAGTGAAATAAGTCAATCAGAGAAAGACATGTATCACATGACCTCACTGATATGAGGAATTCTTAATCTCAGGAAACAAACTGAGTGTTACTGGAGTGGTGGGGGGTGGGAGGGATGGGATGGCTGGGTGATAGACATTGGGGAGGGTATGTGCTACGGTGAGCGCTGTGAATTGTGCAAGACTGTTGAATCACAGATCTGTACTTCTGAAACAAATAACGCAACATATTTTAAGTAAAAAGGAAAAGAAGAAGATAACAGGAGAGGAAGAAAAGGGGAGTATGTCAGAGGGGGAGACGAACCATGAGAGATGATGGACTCTGAAAAACAAACTGAGGGTTCTAGAGGGTAGGGGGGTGGGGGGATGGGTTAGCCTGGTGATGGGTATTGAGGAGGGCACGTTTTGCATGGTGCACTGGGTGTTATGAACAAACAATGAATCATGGAACACTGCATCAAAAACTAATGATGTAATATATGGTGATTAACATAACAATAAAAATTACTGGAAGATGCTATCAATAACTGCTTCAAAATCAGAACATCATATATTCATGATGGATTTTTTTCTCTCTCATATACTGGTATAAGCTCAGATGTTACGATAATTAGGTAAAAAATTAACATCAAGAGAGTTAAAATAACACACTATTCAAGTGAACAGAGATTACAATAAGAGAGAAAATTGCAAATACACTGTTTACACTAATTCTCTAAATGACTGAATAGTTTGATTAAAAATGTTTCTTCTTTTCCCTAATTTATAGATTTAGGATGATTATTGGAGATGTAATAGCCACAGTTTGGACCAGATCTACATACCATTCTACCTTGCCTATCCAAAACCACATTTTAAGGTAAGGTACCATGAAACTTGATAGAGAACAAAACTTTTTTCTATGGAAAGCAAAAAGATGTGACAACTTAAGAATTTTGTTTAAAGCTTATAAAATGCCTTTATAGTAAGTTATATTTTCATTTATATAAACTGACTCATGCAAAGCTATCTTATTTTTTAACTAGGAAAACATATAAAAAAATCTTAGAATTAAAACACACATACATAACATTTTTTATCTTCTTAATTTTTAATAAAATTAGGAATCACTAAACCTGCATTGTTTTTGTTGCCAATTATAATTTTTCCCCTAGAAGTACTTTATGGGCTTGACTTAGCTCTGCCCTAGTTTTACAGGCAAACTCTAGGATCCTAGTTTATTGTCTTTAAAAATAAGAGATAAGGGGCGCTTGGGTGGCTCAGTTGGTTAAGCATCTGACTCTTGATTTTGGCTCAGGTCATGATCTTAGGTCATGATTTCAGGGTTGTGAGATCGAGCCCCAGCTCTGGCTCCATGCTCAGCAGGGAATCTGCTAGAGATTCTCTCTCTCTCTCTCTCTCTCTCTCTCTCTCTCTGCCCCACCCCCCACTTGTGCTCTCTTTTTTCTCAAATAAATAAGTAAATCTTTAAAAAAAAAAAGATAAAACACTAATAAAAGAACCAGCCATTGTAGCAAACTAGTTGCTATTACAGAGTGTCCTTACCTTCCTCTGGTAGCTTTCTGTAGAACCTTCATTCCCATCAGGCTGCAGGACTTTCCTTCCAACTGTTGGTCCTTCAAGATGGTGCCCTCAGAGTGCACTTCACTGAACATCCCATAGGCATCTTGCACGAGAAGGCAGACTCTACAAAAAAGTATTCACATTTTTTTAAGAGACAGTTTTTGATTCACTACAGAGGTCAGGATTTCCTTCTCCTTTGTTAGAAATCCATTGTAATCATCTTTCTGAATGGGTAAATCAAGGTAAAGGAAGTTGAATTCAAATATGCACTTTAGATTTGTACTTACAGGTGTTTGGATCACTATCCACAAAATACAGAAGGAAACAGAATTCTCTTTTGGCATAGAACTAAACCCTAAGCCAAATGTGGTTTAAAAGCACATAAAGAAGATCATCCTTTCAAATAAAATATATTACCCCTGCCCAAAAAGAGATTATCCTCTCTCCCCATTTTTATCCTGTCTGTTATAACAGGAAACATTTCTATTTCATATGGATGCTCAATACTGAGAAAAGCTTCAGTGTAACATTATGATAAGAACAATAATAAGGGGCTTTCTCTGAGAAGGTACATATTTACAGACATGCATATCCCACAGGATAAAAAACCAGCATCCCTGCTGGCAGCAACACAGACATAATGGATATCCAGTGACATGATGGGATTCCCCCAACTTTTAAATTCAAAGGGTAGTACTTATAAAAACCTATTTATGATTGAATTTCCAATCCTCCCACTTCATAATTCAGGTAAATCAAGTGTTATTTATTATGAAATGACACATTCTCAGAAAATATTTACTGAAGCCTAAAAAAAAATTAGGCAGTAAATAACACCACCAAATAGACTGTGAGGAACAAAACTATTTTATTTTATTTATTTTTTAAAAAAAGATTTTATTTATTTATTTGACAGAGAGAGACATAGCAAGAGAGGGAACACAAGCAGGGGAGTGGGAGAGGGAGAAGCAGGTTTCCTGCTGAGCAGGGAGCCCGATGCAGGGCTCAATCCCAGGACCCTGAGATCATGACCTGAGCCGAAGGTAGATGCTTAATGACTGAGACACCCAGGTGCCCCAAAACAAAACTATTTTAAAGATGAGGGTGTACAGTAAAGTGCAGCATGTTAGGAAAGAACAGATGACAAACAATGAACAAAGGAATGCTAAATCTGAAGCAATGAACTTTGTTTTTAAAAAAAAAATTTATTTATTTGTTAGAGAGAGAGAGAGAGAGAGAGCACAGCAGGGGGAGTGGTAGGCAGAGGGAGAAGCAGGCGCCCTGCTGAGCAAGGAGCCTGATACAGGGCTCCAACCCAAGACCCTGGAATCATGACCTGAGCCAAAGGCAGACGCTTTACCAACTGAGCAACCTAGGTGTCCATGAAACACTGAACTTTAAATAATGCTTAGAAGCTAGACTTCCCAATTAATTCTTCCAGATCCACAGGGTCCCCCTGATTCATAACAGAGGCAAAGGTAAATCTTGTCTGAAAGAAATCACCTTTAATTTTATCATTAGTTGTCATGGAGTAAAATCAAATAAACATGTGCTTGAATAAAAATCTCTAGTACAGGGATGCCTGGGTGGCTCAGTTGGCTCAGGTCATGATCCTAGAGTCCCTGGATCGAGTCCTGCATCAGGCTCCCTGCAGGGAGTCTGCTTCTCCCTCTGACCCTCTTCCCTCTCATGCTCTCTGTCTCTCATTCTCTCTCTCTCTCAAATAAATAAATAAAATCTTTAAAAAGAATCACTAGTATAAGGAAACAAATCACTATGTGTGGGAAGAGTAAAAAATAAAACAAAAGACCTCACGAGGACTTGACATATTAGAATTAAAAGATATAAAATACTGAATAACTATTTTAAAAAGGTAAAATCACAAAGATATAAATACAAAACAAAAAGCTGTACAGCATGACCTGGCAGATTTGAAGAATGAAACAGACTTTCAAAAAGGAAACACTACATTTATTGAAATAAAGAAGTTATTAAATAGGTGTAAACAGTTACATGTACCTGAAGAGTGTGTATATGAGAACTGGGTTATAAATTTGAGTAGATTACCTAGAATGCATGTTGAGAGCTGAGATAAAAAAAACATGAGAGAAAAGAGAAGTACAGAGGATAGAATGAGAAAATCTTAATATTTGTCTAATAGGAATTTCAGAAGAACAAAATAGAGGAAGGAGAAGCAATAATTTGTACATTTAAAAACTGCCAATTTTCTCCCCAACTGATGAAAGAAATAAATCCAAAGGGGCGCCTGGGTGGCTTAGTTGGTTAAGCAACTGCCTTCGGCTCAGGTCATGATCCTGGAGTCCCGGGATTGAGTCCCACATTGGGCTCCCTGCTCAGCAGGGAGTCTGCTTCTCCCTCTGACCCTCTTCCCTCTCATGCTCTCTATCTCTCATTCTCTCTCTCTCTCTAATAAATAAATTTAAAAAATTAAAAAAAAAGAAATGAATCCAAAGATACAGGAAGAGAAACAAATACTAAGCAGGACAACTAATAGGAAATCCATCCTAGGACACACACTGTAATAAAACTAGAGAACATCAAACACAATGAGAAGATTCTAAAAGCAAAAAGGGTGAAAAGACCATCTGCAAAGGAATAAAAATTTGATTTACATCAGCCTCCTCAAAAGCAATGAATGAAGCCAGACAACAGTGAAATATTTTCAGAATTCTGGAAGCCATTTCAAAACTGTGTACCAGTAAAACTGTCTGTCATGAATGATGGTAAAATAAAGGCATTTTTAGATAAAGAAACACTGCACATGTTTTCCACCCACAGAGTCTAAAATATTTACTAGATATGAAGATAATTACTAAAATAATTTCTAAATTATGCATTTTAGGAAGGAGAATATTCTGGGACAAAGGTCTAAGATACAAGAACTACTCAGCATCACTATAAACAAATCAAAACAAACACAGTAGGATAAAATAACACCACCACCAATAATATCAATTAATGAAGGGGGAGCTGAAAAACTGGAAATGGAAAAAAGAATTCAAAGTTCCAAAATTACTGGATACATTACTTGATAATAAGTATTAAAACTATAGGGGCGCCTGGGTGGCTCAGTCGGTTAAGCATCTGCCTTTGACTCAGGTCATGATCCCAGGGTTCTGGGATCGAGTCCCATACTGGGCTCCCTGCTCAGCACAAAGTCTGCTTCTCCCTCTGCCTCTGCCTGCCGCTACCCCTCCTTGTGCTTTCCCTCTGTCAAATAAATAAATAAAATCTAAAAAAAAAAAAAAAAAATAGCCCCAAACTGGAAACAAGACAAATGTTTAGTAATAGCTGAATGGATAAATAAATTGTGATATATCTTTACAGTGGAATACTACTTAGCAGTGAAAAGGAAACAAACTACTGATACACGATGAATCTTGAAAACATTGTGCTGAGTGGAAAAAAAAAACTATGAAAAGTATATAAAAGGCAAAGGAAATCCATAGTAATAGCAAGCAGATCTGTCGTTGCCTGCAATTGGGGCCAGGAAGGACTGACAGCAGAGGGCATAGGAAACTTTTTGGGGTTATGGAAATAATCTATGTCTTCACCCACTGCTTAAATGGGTGCATGTTATTGTATGTATGTAAACTGTACTGCATGTAAATTATACCTTCAAAAAGTTACTTAAGGAAAAAAAGGGTGGAGCGCCTGGGTGACTCAGTCAGTTGGGCTCTAACTCTTGATTTTGGCTCAGGTCCTGGTCTCAGGGTCCTGGAATTGAGCCCCACATCTGGCTTTGTGCTTAGTGTGGAGTCTGCTTGAGACTCTCTCTTGCTCTCCTTCTGCTCCTCCCCTGCTGTCTCTCTCCAAAATAAACAAACAAATCTTTAAAAAAACAATAAAGAAAAAGGGTATAGGAGACAACTTGAAGAAGATTCCACTGGATAAACATAGGATAATTATGGAGAAAAGACAGGAAAAGTTATTGGTACCTCTGGTTCCGATTCATTTTGCTAAAAACTGGCAAACAATGGGAAAGAATCAAATGCTTAAAAATCCATTAGAAAAATATTATGGTTTGCAAAGAGGCATTTCCCCTTGTCATTATACACGAACTTTCAAAGGCAAACGGTGATATCATCTAAGCACATGTTTTCTTGCACATCTTCGACAAATACTGAAAACCACTTACTTTTAGAGATAGCTCTCAGAGTATGAAATTATGAATATATTTGGATATTTAAAAAAAGGAAAAATACATTACTGACGTTTCATGAAACAAAACTTAAAATCTTATTCTTTTCATGAAATCTTCTCCATTATAAGGAACCAGATACAAACTACTAATTTCACCCTAAAAACATGAGGGTTGAAACTGCTCACATGTTCTCTTTCTGAGCTATAGCAGGTTCTCAAATACTCCTTCCATGTTTGAGAGAATGAATGAGGCTCTGTTGTGAACACACACAGCAAACTCACATAATACCTAATTGCACAGTGTTCACAGAAATATTCCTCCTTGTATTCAGTCACTAATGCATTCATTTGAAGCTTACTGGGCTTATACTTTGTAGGATATGTAAGGAGGGAAGGGGTCAAATAAAAATATAATTGACAATCAAATAAAATATTGAGCAACATTAACACCTAACACTAATATAATGTATTATGGCTAATTACAGCATTCTCATATTATCTATTTTATCCTTCAACTGAGGAAACTAGGCATTATTGATAGATGAGGAAAGTGAGACTCAGAATGTTTAAAAATCCTACCCAAGATAGTAAAGAGGGAGCAGAATCAGGTCTTAAATGCAAAGCACTTAATTTGGTATTTTTGTGCCATAATATCACATTACAGTAACAAGTTATATGAATGTAGAAGACTGATTAATTTTGCAGAGTGGAACTGGAGAAAGCATCCCAGAGCAACTAGCATTCTAGTCTGCAAGGCAAACACCAAGAAGGCAACAAGGAATAAACTCATGGCAAACTGAATGCCATAAAATCCAGAATATCTAAATCTAACCTTTATAGAGAGGCAATGATATTTCCCACTGCTAAGTCAAATTATTTAAGATATACATAAATTGTAACTAGTCCATAATGAGGCTACTAATCTAGAAGAGCTTTATTCACTCTGTAACTTTCAAAAG